CGTTTTCACCGCTCCTTCCCTGGGACCGCTGTTCTCGACCCCGCCGCCTCGGCTCACTCTTAAAGACAGTATAAGTCATTATAATCAGTAATTATGTCCCCACTGGATGCAACAAATGCCTCGTTTGTAATGGGTTTTAATGTTTTTGTCTCGTCGCTCCGGCCAGACACGGCATCAACAGTATGGTGAGGGGCGTAACATTTCCGTCTCACGCTTGAGGTATTCGGCCAATCACAACGCACTAGATAGCTGGCCAATCACAGCACACCTCGCTTTTCAGACCGATGAGTTTTGTAAAAATCGTCGAGTTTCAGAAAGGCGAGGCATAGAGGAGAAACAATAATGTACAGTATGTTCTTTTTTTCCAAGTGTGTGTTCTTTTTTTCCAAGTGTGTGTTTTTTTTTTTTTATTAATTGTTTTTTTGTGGTTTTAATTCTATTTTCAGTTAGTTATAATAATCCTGTCAGTAAGCAGTTTCTTCTAGGTACTATAGGCATCCTTGGTTCAGAACAAAAGGCCAAAAAACAAACTTGCTTCATTACTTGGCCCAGATGCTAACATGTCAGCCCACTCAAACAAACAGAGCCATGTTTGGACAGCCAGGATGTTTTCCAGTATTCTGGGAAGAAAAAACTATGATGTTTTACTTAGTCAACTCTTCACAATAAAGTTGAACATAGATTTTTAACATAAAAAAAACTAATAATTGACATAATGGCAATAGATCTCTCTCTCTTTATCTTTCAGGTGACTTGACGGATGAACTTGGACATGAACTAATTAGTCATTAGCTAGTTAGCCTGTGATAGTTGAGTATTGTTTTGGGGGCAGGAGGTTCTTTCATCCGAGCGTTTGATTAGAGAGAGATGTGAGTGCTTAAATCGTGTGTAGCAGAGTTCAGCTGGTTGCCGCTCTTTAATAACATCTCTGAAATGCTGTGGCCACTGAGGCGTCTCCACTCATTTTTTCCCCCTCCGTTCGAATGCAGCGTTGATGATAGCGACCAGCAATTAAACTCCCCAATTGGAACTCAGTCAAGCATAACCAGACAAGCATGTTTTCTTGCTTCTTTTTTTCAGTGACAGGACATCATATTTTTGTGTAAGCGCCTTGTACTGTCATGTCTTGCTTTCTCGGGCTCTAAGAATGATGATGGTGTCTGAGGATAAGCTTAAAAATGTGATCAAGTGTCATGGCGTTTGTAGTCTCTCAGTGCAGGAGCGGAGGATGAGAGTGTGTGGGAGGAGCTGGAGCAGTAAATATAGACGAACTGACAGAGCCAGAGAGAACCAGGGGACAAATGAGAGTCCATAGAAAGAGATGAGGTGGAAGTGGAAAAAATACAATAGAAAGAAATGCAATAAAAAATGAAGTCCAAAAGGAATTGGTATTGCTCAGAGGTTGCCCTTTCATAGCTCAAGAGATTTAAAAGAACATTTCACTCAAAAATGAAAATCCTGTCATCATTTACTCACCGTCATCTACTAAAACCATATGGGTTTCTTCAATGGAACATAAAGGAGACCTTGAAGACCGAAAAAACATAATATTCAAATAAATAAATAAATAAAATTAAATAATAATCTACAATATAAAGTATGTCGTGCCTTTAATGCTTTATACTAAGCAATTGTACTGCATTATTATTATTTTTATTATTATTATTTAAAAAAATAAAATTCTGTATGAGATCCAAATTATTTGGGTAATTATTTTAAAATATGACCTGTTTTATTTTCATTTTTGATAGGTTTACTAGTGCTTTGTTATACTTTTGTTGTTGTATTTGTTGTATTTCGTAAATTTTTACTGTATTACAAAAGTGACACAATATAAAGCAAAATTAGAATTACACAAAGTGAAACAAAATTATTACAATAAAAATAAAGTGCTCTTAAGTGTCATGGACATGTCAAAATACAAAATATAATAATAATAATAATAAAGCTTACAGGCATAATTATCTGTATGCTATTTTTTTTTTAGAATGAAATGTCCTGAATGTTCACCCATGTATTCTCAACAGATAAAACATAACGCAGTAATCATAGTAGCTAGAAGCGCATGTGACAGTAAGATCCATAGTGAACTTTCACCAGTGCTTCAAATGGGAATCTACTGATGTCCTCCGGGAGGAACAGGAAATGACCTTTCTCATGGTACATTCCACCTCTACTCACACCGATAATGCTACATGTGTTGTTATGCTTCATTCTCTGATCATATTTGAGTCATACATCAGAAGTCACTGATAGTAGATGAACACAAAAGCGAGTCTGAAAAGTTACAAAAACCAATGTGTCAAACGTTCCAAATTGATTTCCCATTGGTAGCATATCAATCGATAATAAAGTTGCATTGGCCCCTGATCTTTATATACTAAATACGAATGCTACATTAAATGTATTGCAACAAGATGTCTTCAACCCCCAGCCTGATGATGGCTTCAGAGAGTGGCTACATTCACATAGCAACACAATACAGATGTCGGTCCTGTATATAAAAAAAAATTAAATTGTATAACCATAGAATGAGACTTGCTGTTAAAGGGTTATTTCACCCAAAAATGAAAATTCTGTCATTAATTACTCCCCCTCGTGTTGTTTGAAACCCGTAAGACATTTGTTCATCTTCGGAACACAATTTAAGATATTTTTGATGAAATCTGAGGGCCCTCCCATAGACAGCAAGGTAACTACCACGTTCAAGGTCCAGAAAAGTACCAAGATGATCGTCAAAGTATTCCGTGTGACATCAGTGGTTCAACTGTAAAGTTACGAAGCATGGTACTGTCGTGAACGCGCGTCCAAAGTGACGCAGTAGAGACGAAAATGTGGAATAAAGTTGTTATTTTTGTTTTCTTTGCGCAAAAAAAATATTCTCGTAGCTTCATAACTTTACAGTTGACCCACTGATGTCACACGGACTACTTTGTCGATCATCTTGGTACTTTTCTGGACCTTGAATGTGGTAGTTACCTTGCTGTCTATGGGAGGGTGAGAGAGCCCTCAGATTGGTTTCGAACAACACGAGGGTGAGTAATTAATGACAGAATTTTCATTTTTGGGTGAACTAACCCTTTAAGTGTTTGGACCACAGAATTTTTAAGGATGAAATCATTCAGAATGTTCCAAAATGTCAAACATTTTAGAACAAAAATTCAATTCTTAAAGATGCGTTCAAACTTCATATGTTCTGTTGTATTCGGTCATGTGAATGTAGCCATTAAAAAAAGCCAGCATGGAATTTCCAGCCATCATTCACCAATTTCTACATATCCCTGGCTCTTCTGTGTTCATTTATTATATATTTTGGCAAATTGTACTATGCTGATATTCTTAAGCAAAGCACCTTAACACATCATGCCATATTTAAATCCATTCCATTGAATTTTGCACATTTACAATGCAAATAATCCTGGCCAGTAAGATTTCACATTCTAATTAAATTAACATTCACATTCATTTGCTCATCATCGGGGTGATGGTGCACTCTCTGTGCTATTTGAGCTTATAACAATTCGACATTGAATTGCATGATAAAACTTCAATATCTAAAAGAAACAAAAGGAAACATTTGGAATACGTAATGTACTATCCTGCAACGTAAAATGACAACCCTCCATTTATTGTTTCGCTCTCATTTTCCCTCTTGCATTAAATCTAATCGTTCGTGTCCTGTAGTAGGTCCTACTAAACTTAGCATGGATTATAAACAATAGCTGCTTATACAAGACATGTAGTGAAGGCATTGTGCAAGAGTTCAGAGCGTTTACGGTAACAAACATGAGGAACAGTATTACAGCCGCGGGAGAGTCTTTAACTGTAGGAGAACCTGGACTGGGGTTGAAGTACTCCAGGCCCTGTCCCTGTTACCTATGGAATTACCTGAGGAGCGTGTCTATGATAATCTCTTCAACAGCGACAGACATATGCCACATTAGGATACATATGAACTGGTTAAATATGAGCGTGAGCGAATATTACAAGCCGGAAAATCATTTTGCACATTTTATGTTTGTAAACAGACTTACCTAAAAGCTCCACTGTGGATGGAACTACAAGTATGAGTAATACTAGAGCAAAGCAATTGAAATATATACTGAATACATGATTGCACCATAACATCTAAGCATACGCAAATCTGATAAAGGACACTCAAACAGAGGCACAAATGGTTCCTTCTTTTCGTTATATGCTCTTATTCTTCTGTGCCTGCCCTTCCCTTGCAGTGATGATAGATGTGATGAAACGTACTTGAGCTTTCAGAAAGGATCGAACACACACAGTCCTGGTAGTTTGCTTACACATCTGACAATCACATATTGCTACAGAACTCTAACCATGTGCTTAAATGTTATTTAGCTTGATGTGACATATTTTAAAAAGAGTTCCAGGGAGGGTAGCGTACATTTCGAATCTTTTGAAGGTAAAATCATTCATAACATATTGCATCTGAATCTTAAACCATTGGCATCTGTGATTTATGCTGCGTTCCATTCAAAGTCAGATGTGGGATATTCCTACTTGGTATCTCTGACTTCCAAGCATGAAGGAGTTCCTCTCTCTAAAGTTTGGAAGATGATATATAAGAAAATTAAATGGCAATGCTACTGTTTGCTGAACATATTTTGATTGTCAACAAAGAAGTCCCTAGCAGCCAATGTTGAGCATAAATGATGCACCGCAGTACTAGCATTTGTTCTGCAGGTGTATGATTATCATCTTAGAGGATCATTTATCTGCAGACATTTGCTAAACATGTTTTATCATCATTTAATGTAAGATCTTTGACCTATTGATGTATTTTATTTGCTTAAAAGTGCATCTCACCAAAAGGATTTTCAAGCTCAAGTGACCTCAAGTGGCATTCTATTGCAATTTTCCAAGTAGGAAGCTGGAAATTCCAACTTTCCGATGTAAATGGAATGCAGCATTACTGTAGGATACTTCAATGAGGAACATCGTGACTTTTCACGTCAACACTGTTTGTTTGCCATCTCAAAACTTCCAAAATAAAATATGTCTGAAGTTTGTCAATGTCACCCCTTGAGGAGCTAGCACGCACATGCGATTTCTCTCTAACACTATGCAAAATGACATTCTTGATCATCAAAGCCAAGAGCGGAGTTTGTCTGTCCAGAGGCGTCCATCTGTTGGAGTCTATGTGCCCAAATAATATTCATTGCAGTCAGAGGTACGGTCCTATTGCTGAACGAGAACGACTGACCCAGTGAGTCAACACTCTCCCGGCAGTTTTATTGAAGCTAAAAGTGATCGTTCTCATAAGTTGTCCAGGTGCGTTATGGTTCTTGTAGATTGAGGGTGAGGTAACTGATGCTCTTCTGGTCCAAAGTTCACATTGTGTCGTTTTCGGGAATCGAACGAACTGAACGGCAATGCAGCAGTGACACGCGGTTTCTGGTAAAGAAAGCCAAAGATCAAGAAGTGTACAGCAAGCCCAGACTGACGGGATACCAAGTAAAGGAACCAAAATAACTACAAAAAAAAAAAGATATAAATTTGTGCTTCTTTAGTTTCACATTGTCATAGTCCGAGAAGTTGCAGTCGGAGTCCGTTTGTCCTTTCTGCAGCTTGATACTTTCCAATATATCATGTACACGTGCATGTACAGGTCCACTCAGGTCATCAGTAACTTCGTGACCACCTGTTTCACTCATCCGTTCCGGCTCTCGTTATTCCTTGCAATCTTAGTGTCTTAAGAAAATCACATCTCCATGCACTTGAGTCTGTGGAACGAGTAGTTCATTTGGGGAAAGGACGTCCTTGTTGCTCTTTCAGCCATCTGTTCATCCTGTAAGCCCTCCATCATCTTTGGTTATAATTGACACTTTGGTGTGTCAGATACATACACGAGTGACTGAGATGAAGATGTCAAGACATATGGACAGAAATGTACAAAATTAACGGAAATTATGCTTACATAAAACTTAAAAGGTGCCACTTAGCAGATATAAGCTCAAAAAGTGACCACAAAGATGATGAGAAACCAAAGAAACAGTAGACTCGAATGGTAAGAGGAGGTGTGCAGCCGGGACAAAGGGAATGAGAAACAGGAGGAAATGGAGGAGGCAGTAGCAGGAAGGGTGGTCATGTTTTGGGGCAGTTCTTATTGCTGCCGTGGGGGCGTCCTACACTGGCGGTGTGTGTGCTGAGGGGTATCTGTATCATCTGAGGAGGAATGTCAGAAAGATGGTGCAGAGCAGCTGGACAATCATAGGAAGAAGGTGAAGACTCTGGTGTGTCCCAGACAGAACTGCTGTAAACATAAAGACAGGCACTCTATTACACAACAACTTCTTTATTGTTGTGCATTTGTCACTTTGTATTGACAGAACAGTGGAAAATGGACATAAAGGTATTGTGGGAGTGAGTGGGATTCAAAGCTGCATCTCCTACATGAGCATGACAGCTCCAGAAGAAATTGTTCAAAAGTTGCTCTCTGATAGTTCAGGAGACTTAATGAGGCTCTCAGCTATGTTGCACTGAAATATCTCAGATGTTTCTCCTAAATAATATTTATATTTATGCATATGGCAGATGCTTTTATCCAAGTTGCATTGCATTCAAGGAACATACATTTCTATCAGTCCAAACATTCCCTGGGATTCCAACCCATGACCTTATTGTTGAGCTATAGGACTGCTTTGAATATTAAGCATCCATATGAAAACTGTTGTTCGGCAAGGTTAAAAAATCACCCCCCCCCCCCCCCCCCCAAAAAAAAAAAATTTGCCAAATCATTTCCAAGGCACTTTTGATAGGGATTTTGTTGGTCACATTTTTTTTGGTGTGTTTCAGGACAACACTTTACACGATTAAACATTTGAATGCAACAATTCTACAAAAGCTCATTCCTGAGAAACCAATTGCTATTTTATTATATCTAAGTATTATATGTGGGAAGTACTAAAACCAACACTCTCTGAAAAAAAGTGCAAAAATTGGCATTTCTTTAGGGGTACAACAGCTTGTCACTGAGGCAGTACCCATAAAGGGAAAACCTTGTACCCCTAAAAGATTCACAGTAGGACCTTTAAAATTAGTGTTTACTATTGTCATTTTGCATTATTGACACTATTTTCCTAATTAATGCTGTTCAGTTGCTTTGACACAATCTGTATTGTTAAAAGCGCTATATAAATAAAAAGGTGACGACCTTAAAGGGATAGTTCACCCAAAATGAGTTTCTTTTCTTCTGTTGAACACGAAAGAAAATATTCTGAAGAATGCTAATATCCAAACAGTTGATGGTAGCCATTGACATCCATAGGATTTTTTTTCCATACTATGAAAGTCAAAGGCTACCATCAACTCTTTGGTTACCAACATTATTCAGAATATCTTCTTTTGTGCTCAACGGAAGAATGAAACTCATACAGGTTTGGAACAACTTGTGGTGAATAAATGGTGACTGAATTAAAATTTTTGGGTAAACTAGAAGTACGTATTACTACTCTATTGTACTAATATCCTTTTCAAGGGTACTGCCCCAGTGACAAGCTGTTGTAGCTGTAAAGGTACAACTTTTGCACATTATTTCTGACAGTGAATGTGACCTATGACTTGCATTTTATGCAAACTGAGAGCTGTACATGCTGGTTCAAGTGACTGGTTCAAGGCCTAAAGCATTGCAAATCTAATTCAGAATTGCTCCAAAATGGTGCAATTTACCTCAATATGTAGTTCATAAAATGCTCTTAAGAAAAACATCTCTTAACCTCAACCACAGAACAGTTGCAGGGTCAGACCCCTTTTAGAAGGGAACTTGGGATGCTATCGTAAATGGTTTTGTGCTCCTGTTGAGTGTTTGGCACAAAGGAGCGCGGGACACTGAAATAATGGATCAGACAGATGGGGTTACAGCGGCTGGCATCATCATATGACTGAACCAGAGGCCATAAGCGGTAATATCTGTGAGCTACCGAAGACGGATGACCTGCGAGAGGACAATTACAAGTCATTATGTCTCAGAGGTAACGTTGAGTAATATCTTTCGGCACAGCTCACAGGAAATGGCCTCAGATGATGATGAGGGCTGGACCAAACATGCTTGCAGTGTTGTTTGAGAAGCAGACACACAACACATACACGTGTGCATTTAATTATGCATACAAGCTGCCAACAAAATAGGTTTAATAAATTAAGAGCAGGTATTGTTTTAAAAAAAATCAATATGGCTTTATATCAAGGATTTCTCTGGCTATAGCAGGAAATCAATATATTCATAATAAAGCTTTTTATTCTTCCTTTTCAATAAAGATCGAGATTGTGTGAGCTGTGACATCCCTCTCAAGGACTTTTGAAGGAGGCGGGTAATTTTGAGAGCGGGTGTACGTGTGTGTGTGTGTGTGTGTGTGTGTGTGTGTGTGTGTGGAGGCAGGCTACTTATGCACCTGTGCAGCAAAATAACAAGTCTAATATTATAACCTATAATAAAAGAGAGAGGGAAATTAGTTATTTAAGAGTTCAAAAACTGATCAATCAACAGTCAGTGGCACCGTAACAAATTTCAATGTTTGTGTGTGTGTTGTGGGGTCTTCAGATTTCTAATTCCGATTCAACAGGTCACCTTTGTTTCAAATCGCACATATTTCTTCTCTTGTTCTGCCTGCTCTGCCTTTCCACCCCACAGCCAAATCCCAGTCAAGGTGTGATTTATGGGGATGCAGTAACACATGGGACGTCAGAGCCAATCATCATTCATCTCTAAAGGAGGAACAGCTCACGGTTGAGCTACCATGGGCAGCACCCCGAGCAGAACAGGCCAGAGGAGAGCAGAAGAAACCATCGTCATTCTGGCTATGCAGTACATTTGCAGTACCCAACATGAAAATCATATTCTCTAGCTTTTAGAAAAACAGGCAATTTATTAAGAAATATTCCAATTATTTCTTCATTTGTTCACTTACTAATTAATATTTAAAAAAAAAAAAAGATTTCTTGAGAATATTGGTTTCCTGTTTGGAGTCCTGAGTGCACAATATCACTTTCCATCCAGTTAGCAAAATCCCTTAACTAACATAAACCAATTAGAAAAACAGGCAATTTATTAAGAAATATTCCAATTATTTCTTCATTTGTTCACTTACTAATTAATATTTAAAAAAAAAAAAAAGATTTCTTGAGAATATTGGTTTCCTGTTTGGAGTCCTGAGTGCACAATATCACTTTCCATCCAGTTAGCAAAATCCCTTAACTAACATAAACCAGTTCCTTAATGACATAATTTTGGAGGGAAAACCAGCATTAGCATCACTAAATATAGAGCGCTGTGCTGCAGTGATGAGACATTTTTGTAGGCCAGTCTGGAAGTTAGCATCACCCTGGTTCCATTTTAGATTATTGCAGAAAATAAGTTCTGTGACCAACAGAAGTTTATGATTCCTGTAGCGGTTGACTTTAAAATGTATAAAAGTTGTGTAATTTGTGAATTTGCGAAGAATCACAATGAGCAAAAGTCACATGACTTCAACGTCACCAACACTAAGCCAACTCTTTTAGTCTTTATTTAAAAAACATGTCCTTGAAAGTTTGAGTTAGAATAACTCTAAAGAGGCTGTATAAGCAGACTAATGAGTAGATGAGTTCACCTGTTTGGTCTGATGATGTTTAATGTCCCTAACAACCTCTGTAGTCCCATTTAGACACTCGTTAGCAACCATTTTCAAGACACGTGAAAGCTTTAAAAAATACAAATAAATAAAATCCCAAGGCGGTTTTTCTGATGTATTTAATATCACAGAATAAAACATGAAAATATCCTGAGCTTGTGTTTACCACAGACCGTCTTGCAGGCGATTGACTTTAGTACGATTAACTCCTTTCCATGTTTTGGCCAACAAAAATACATCATCCCTGCAGCTGTCTATTAGAAATTTGACAAATTCTGGTTTTGTGGCTTTAGCTGGTTTGTCTCACTTTAAAATAGTTCACGCTTCCTGAGTGAAATCTCAGAAATTGGTAAAATAGACTATTAAAAAAAAAATCTAAATTAACTTATGCATAGCTAACTGTAGCATTTCATTCCCATCTTTTTAGGCATCCTTCCTATTAATCGTGTAAATAATCAACCTGTTGAAAGTTTTCCAGCTTAAACACAAACTTCTGAAAGTCTGTTATACCCACAGAGTTCCAAATGTACTGCATAACAGGAAAGACCCTGAAAAACATCAAGGAATCAAAAAGGAGAGGAGTTCCATTGATGAATGCACATATCCTCTATAGCAAAGCCTCATGGGTCAGAGACAGAGCCTGCAAGCTAGCATACATAGCTAACACATACCCACAACTTTCCCCAAACAAGCAACAGCTATCAGCAATCTGTACGGTTGAGAGCTGGAATATTCTCTCTGTGAGGGAGCTTTTACAATGACTGATCTTAATCATTAATTTGGCTCTTTTGTTCTGCCTTGCGGTGCGCTGCACGCTGCTCACGTTACACTTTCCTGTGTGTAAGCACAGCACAGCACCTGTGGGCGGCATGAAAAGGTTTTACTGTGTGGGCCGTGTGTGTGTGTGTGTGTGTGTGTGTGATATAACACCAGTGTTCATGTCGACCCAGGTACAGAGGAGAGAGCAGAGCTGTACTCTTCCAGAGACTAATGTATAAGATTATATTAGAACTTGAAATAATAATAGAGTTTTTTTTTCACTTTACCATGACAGCTTCCTGAGGTATTTAACAATTTAAAATTTTATACCCACAGAGTTCCAAATGTACTGCATAACAGGAAAGACCCTGAAAAGCATCAAGGAATCAAAAAGGAGAGGAGTTCCATTGATGAATGCACATATCCTCTATAGCAAAGCCTCATGGGTCAGAGACAGAGCCTGCAAGCTAGCATACATAGCTAACACATACCCACAACTTTCCCCAAACAAGCAACAGCTATCAGCAATCTGTACGGTTGAGAGCTGGAATATTCTCTCTGTGAGGGAGCTTTTACAATGACTGATCTTAATCATTAATTTGGCTCTTTTGTTCTGCCTTGCGGTGCGCTGCACGCTGCTCACGTTACACTTTCCTGTGTGTAAGCACAGCACAGCACCTGTTGAAAAGGTGAAAAGGTTTTAGTGTGTGGGCCGTGTGTGTGTGTGTGTGTGTGTGTGTGTGTGTGTGTGTGTGTGTGTGTGTGTGTGTGATATAACACCAGTGTTCATGTCGACCCAGGTACAGAGGAGAGAGCAGAGCTGTACTCTTCCAGAGACTAATGTATAAAATTATATTAGAACTTGAAATAATAATGGAGTTTTTTTTTCACTTTACCATGACAGCTTCCTGAGGTATTTAACAATTTAAAATTGAAAAAAAAAATGATCAGGCTGGAGCAGTAGGAGCTATGTGGATTGGTATATGAAAATGTCCGTACGTGTTACTGTCAGAAGAAACTAATGCCTTGCGGGCAGTGCACACGCTTTGGCACATCGCACAGTGGTGCCTATATATGTGGGTGAATCTGTTTCGGGTCATTTTCCAATTTGGGAGAGTTTTGTTTGGCAGCAAGAGAAAAAAATAACGCAACTTGCATTAAAACCAAACAGCCAAACAAGTGTTAAAAGTTGGCTGAACCATTTTATAGACCTGATGCTTGCTTACATGCCTTTCAGCAAATTAGCTGAGATGATGTTACACCTCCTAATTAATATTCATGATGACAAGGTTTACATTGTGTTTCCTTTTCAGATAGTTCCTACACTCCTGAATGTCTACTCCCCATTTAAGGTAAAAAAATACCATAAAAATAATGCTAATAAAAAGGAAACTACACAGTTTGTTCACTGTGTGGTATAAACGTCAGGATTAACAGCTGGTGTATCAATAAAAAAAAATAAAAAAAGTTAATTTGCTAAATCCTAGCTTTTTATTTAAAAAATGACATTGCATAATATGTGACAAAGAATTGAGATGTGGCTTTGAAATGTGAGACCATCTGGCAAATTAAGCGGTTAAAAGGAAACCTAATTAGATAAAACTCTTCTGAATTTGTATGATAATAATTTAAGATAATTTAGTGAACTCTGTAATTCAATAAAACATTTTCTCAACCAAACAGAATTACAAAAATGAAATATTTTCCTTCAACATATATCCCTGAAATATATAAGCCTATTTTTATTACTGTAATGCAACCACATATTTTACTTTTGAGAGTTTGTTTTATTATCTATATTAACCAGTGTAACATTTAAATAATATATCATTATTTTTCACATTATACTAAAAAGAATGAGCTGTTTTCCATTATGGCAATATGAACTAGAAGGTGAAATGCGCATTATTGTCATAATGTCACTGTCACGCACACACACAAATATCGAATAGTCCTAAAAAACTGGCTTCATTTTCTTTAAGCAAAATTTAATATTTTATGTCTTTTTGGTATGAAATATGACCAGGACATGTTCTTGACAGGTTTCACCAAGTAAGAATAAGGGTTTTGCCATTTTTAATATTCAGAACAAGAAGGTCATATCTTCAGTCTATCAAAAATCACTATGCCCTGAAAATGTGATGGGGATTCAGGTCTTTGACTCAAGAAATTATTCTATACAAGACTGTGTGACATGAAGCACTGTGCATGTGAGGTCATTTTTAAGGACGGTTACTGGTTGTAATAGTACATATTATTTTTTATTTTATTTTTCATGAATTGTTCTTGTCTACATCTAAACAATTCTTTGATAATTGTATATCTTATAGTTTCTGAGGATGATTGTTGTGGATCTGTCTCATGCCTAGAGTAACCATGGACATTGTATTTTTGCTCTCTGGAAGGAAGGCCAAATGAAAAGTGTTTTACCATCTTTATAGTCTTTTAATTAATTCGTATAATTATCTATATATAATCATCTAGTCATATTCATATATTCTTATTTGCTCATATACTACTCTTCATATTTATCTTTACTTTACATTTATATTGATATTTCACATATATATTGTTTTTGACTTGCTGCATGTCTCTGTAGATATAATAAGCATAATGCTGTGTAAAGGGCAATGTTGAAGTTTCATAATTTGTTTCTGGTACCAGGGAGAGCTTCTCTCTGCTGGAGCGTCTGTATCTTCAGGGTTAGCTGACAAGGAGCTGCTGCCATGGACACTGAATGTGGTTTTGATGTATGCTTTGGAACATCGCAGATGACGCTTGAGGTGGCTGGTAGTTTTCTTCCCTAGCTCATAATAAAAAATAGCTTTTTTTTTTTTTCATTTTCACTTAAACTGTTTCCACAAAAGCTTTCATTTTTGGTGAAATAACGGCAGCAGCGATGTATTCTATATTTATCCATCGTACAGAAGAAGTGTTTCCTTCTATCGTCATAGACTTTATGTCAGTGAAACATTGTGAGACAGTCAGTCAGCATTAGGCCTAACAGTAAAAAAAAAATAAATAATTTTTGTTGGGGTGAATCTAATTAAAATATGTCCAGGTCATATTTGAAAAATGAAAAAATAATAAGAAACAGTATTTTTTTTTTTTTTTTTTACAAAAAAAGTTTCCAGCTTTGTTTAAAAAAATATTGTAGAAAGGTAATTTTCTGCAAAGTTGCTTTTCAACGATTTGTATCGTGAAAAGCGATATACAAATAAACTTGAATTGAATTGAAAAAAGTAATATAGTCATGTTCAATTATATGGAAATACAATAATAGAAATACAATGCCACAATAATATAATGTATTTAAATTACACTGCTGTTCAAAAGTTAGTATCATATGTAGTCCCCCCCCCCCCCCCCACTAATACTCGTTATTGTGATTTTTTTTTTTTCTTTTGTCAGTGAAACATTGTGAGACAGTCAGTCAGCATTAGGCCTAACAGTAAAAAAAAAATAAATAATTTTTGTTGGGGTGAATCTAATTAAAATATGTCCAGGTCATATTTGAAAAATGAAAAAATAATAAGAAACAGTATTTTTTTTTTTTTTTTTTTACAAAAAAAGTTTCCAGCTTTGTTTAAAAAAATATTGTAGAAAGGTAATTTTCTGCAAAGTTGCTTTTCAACGATTTGTATCGTGAAAAGCGATATCCCCCCCCCCCCCCCAGTATATGTCCGTGAATGTGTAATTTATTTATTTGTATTATATTATATTATAGTATTTATTTATATTTATGGACAAATGGTTTTGACTATGTCCTTGATATGGAAATTAAACTCAAATAAAATGTTGATCACAAAAAAAGAGAAATAAATGACATTTTAAAATATATTCAAATAGAAAAGAGTTATTTTAAATTGTAATAACACTTCACATTATTCCTCTTTTATACTGTATTATTGATTAAATAAATGCAGCTTTGGTGATATAAAGAGACTTCTTTCAAAAACATTAAAACAAACTTGATCAGTACTGTATGTCCATTCAGAGGCAAATATTGATAACATGATTAATCAACCATAATATGCATTTTTAAAGCATAGATTAAACCATATATCTTCCTGCATTACAGTAATGAGAATTATATTTTATCAATTCATCTGGTGGGTTTTGAGGGGGACGGTGTTCTGGACAACTGCCCTGTCTCTCTCTCTGTCTCTCAGAGTCTGGCGCTGGGCCTTTTCCTGTCTGTGTGCATGCATTCACACCCAGCATGTGCCAAGATCAGCATTCAGGAGGAGACCCGAGGCCTGCCGCACCATCAGAGGGCTGCACGAGGTGAAAAGAAGCCAGAGCTGTCAGAGCTGGGCCCCGGGCCCGAGCCCCTGCAGCCCACTACAGCTGCTGCCTCCACCATCAGCAACCCCACAATGGTGCGGCATCTCTCCTGCACGCGCACAGTCCTGGCACATCTTACTCACTGACAGTTCATCTCTAAAACCTTCCTGTTGTAACGGAGTTAAAGGAATAATTCAAATTATGTCATAATTTACTCACCCTCATGTCATTTCAAACCGTTTGATATTCTGTCTGTATTATTAAAAGCTCAAAGAAGAACGAAAAAGCACCATGAAAGATCATACAAAGAGTTGATTTGTGCTTCCAAGTCTTCCGAAGTCAAGATTTAAATATAATTATTTTAGTCATTATTTTCACTTCCAGTGAACTCTAAACCCTATAAAGCCTGCAGTAGCATATTTGATATGCAAATTTATCAAAGGCCTTTTAGTATAATTTTAAAATGCCCACCTTCAGGTTGTGGTACATGTGTCTTTTTGCTGTGAAATCTTTACTGATTTTTTATAAAGTAAACTTTTATATTTTAAGTAATATTTCAAGATGAACAGTTACTGGACTGAAGGAACTTGGATTTACTTGATTATCTATACATAATGTATCAAACAAATCAAGGTAAAATGTGAGTATCAGATATCATACATCATATTTTTGAGGAAAGTTGGTTTATCTCTAAATCATTGTACTGCATTGTATTATATGTTTTGCCCCCACAATAAAAACTACAGAGCTTTGATCATAAAACTAAGCATTTAAATATAATTTTACTAAGACATATTATTGCGAGATATAGAGTGACAACTGATATCTATATGCATTTTATGTAAGTAACTTAGTCTGATATAATATATTTAAAAAAGCTACTATTATAAAATAATCTAATTGACTTTTGGCCAGAAAAATATCAGCCATTTTAGCTTCGTTTGGGCTTCTGAATCATGTCTGAGTTTTAGATTTTGTCTAAATAATTTGTTCTCTTTTTTTCACAAACCAGGCATCACTTTTCTCATGAATGTTTACCAAGAAGAGCTAGAGAGTATAGATTTGTATGACTTCAAACTTTGCATTGTATGGATTACTTATATACATTTATGATACTTTTTCACCCTTTTTGAACTTAAAACAAAGTCCCCATTCTTTTTAAGTGCATGGAATAGAGTGACCAAAACAATCCTTTAAATGTTCTCCATTTGTGTTCAACAGAAGAAAGTAAGTCTTGGAAAAACATAAGGATGATTAAATAAGATTGGTTTAAGGTCAGTTCTCAGTGCTGTTTCATTACTCACAGGTTTTTGTCTTTCCTTTGCTTTAAGACTCACGAAACAAAACAAAAAAAACAATCTGAACGTTGACAGGTAATGTGGGCTTTTAGTCACCTACATCTACATGAAGGGATATAATGAAGTTCATTACTGAAGCATCAAGGCTGAGAGGTGTGTTTTTGTGCTGTCACTGATGGTACAGACCTGTTTTGTCCACGCTATCCTTTTGTTTGCATTTTCCCTTGGTAACAGAAACGTCATCGATAGCGATGTCTCCCTCAAAGCCGTTTCCACGGATACCTTCGAACACCACCTGACCAAGAAAAACACAAAGAAAAATCTTAATAAAAAAAAAAAACATTCCTAACATTTATTTTGTTCATATCATCTAACATTTAAGAAAAAATAAGAGATAATATTAAGAACTACACTTCTTTAAAAGTACATCCATAAATACAAACTACAACAGACCCTTCACAAAGACCCCCCCCCCCCCCCCCCCCCCCCCCCCCCACTCCACCGCCTTCCCCCCCACCCCCAGTTACTCTTGCTATGTTCGACAAGGCATGCCGCTCTCATGCCACACATCATGTTCTCACATCAACACACAAAATACATCACGGAGCAAAGAGGAATCTGACAACTTGCCGACAGACAAGACGGAGCAGGTTACTTCTCAAATGAAACAAAGTCTTAGCTTTCAAATTTTGTCATTTTTTGAGAAATTTAAACAATAAATACGGTTTTGTGGCTCTTTAATGTGTCGTGACAGGTCGCTGTAGCGCCTCAGTTCAAGCGGCACATGAACTGATCATCTTTTCATAGGTACTTAAACCATGAAATAAACATGAATGAACATCAGAAGGTAATCTATTTAAAACGCGGAAAAACGTCAATACGCACCATTTTTCAAGTTCAAGCACTCAAACATTAATCTACTCTCCTGTCTGATTTGTCGGACAAAATGGCGGATTTGGCGTTATGATTGGTCAGATCGCCTGTCAATCAAGCTCCCTGCGAAAGGTCAATTCTGCAGCTTGGAACAGCAGGAACTGAACTGGAACTTGAACACCATTCTCGATATGATTCTGAATTCTGAATGACACAAGACCCAAGTCACAATTAAACGCTTCTGCACTACATGGCACATTAAAAATAACACAGTACTATATCAAACATTTGTACAGGAAGAATAAAAGAATAACAAATCAGCCTATAAAATCAAAATAATAAGGTTCCTCCCACATTCTTTGCTGGTATTTATTTCCTCCCCATGTAAGCTGCGTTTGACTGACAGCTTAATTACAGCAGCTCTGAAGCTCACTGCAGAGACCTAATCAGATCCATGTCAAAGCCACGTTCAGTCTAACTAGAGTTTAAAGAATTACCCCCTCCCCAGACAAACACACACCTCTGAACCCCAGCTGGCGGACTAACGCACAAGTGATTGAAATTTATAAATGAAGAAAAATTGAACACAGTGTCTCAATACATTTAATCCACCCACAGCCCCTTAAAACAGATCTGAAGCAATTCACATACTCTGAAACTTTGCAGAATGGCTCTGTATTTTAGCTTTAAGTTTAGGAGAACTTTTGCATATGGACACAATTTGGAGAGCTTTTATGGACACAGGAAAGAGTATGGATGCCAGGGCTATTATTGTTAACTAGATGGAAAACTTAAATAGTTTAAGCACTTAAATTACTAATAAATAAAAAAAAAATAAAAAAATTATAAAAACCAAAACTGAACTAAAACTGTAAAGAAAATAGCAATAGTAATATTTAAACAATAAATAAAAGAATAAATGAAAAATAGAATGAAAAAAATATAAAGATAAAAGCTCATATTTTCTCAGTATTTACCCCTAAATAGTACATATTAGTATTTTAAAAGTGCATATTAGCACCTAAAATGTACAATTAGTAGGTGAATTCAGGTTGATTGAACCTTTTGAAAGGGTACTGCCCCAGTGACAGTTTTGTACTTTTTTCTTAGATCGTATTATCATTCCAACATGATTTGAAGCAGAGAGAAGACAGTATGACTGTTTTGTATTCAGCCTAAAAAACACTTCCTAGATTGGTTCACACACTTGACCAGGTGAAGATAGCATACTTTGCTAAGTGCACACACTCTTGACCTGTGTGCTTTTACAAACACACACACACACACACACACACACGTGCAGCATCACTCCCGCTCCCACGATGCCCAAATGAACGAGTGACTCTGAATCATAAATAACAGAGGCTGAACGGGATCAAGGGATGAGGGCAGATGGGTAATTTGATTTGTCGTGTGTGTGTAAAACAGTCTCTCTGTCTGTGCTAATTAGCTGTGGGGCCACAGTAGACGCCGGGTGACACAATATCATTAGGACAATGTCAAGCAGCGCTCCATAAGAATATCTGCTCACCTGAATATATATTCATGCATTACAAGCCCAGACTCTCAAACACACAGAGAATGCATTTAACTCACAGTACCCTTCCAGAATTTCAAGGTCATTGTATGCATAAAAACATGCTCAAAGGGCAAACACAAACATGCAAAACATGCACAGAGATCTCGCCGTAGTCGGTTGTAGCAGTAATTGGTAGGTGAGGCGATGTGTGTGTTTTCTCTCTGTTCGTTAATGCAAATGGTTTCCTCTAACGGGCAGAGCACAGTTGACTTTAGTGGGTTGAGCTCATTAAGAGGATGACAAACCATTCACCTCTCACACATGAGCTTAGGTGCCAGCAGAGACAGAAAGAAACAATTATGCGCAGCGTCTCAGAGGCGTAGGCATGCAGACACCTCTCCAGCTCCATGTTCATTAGATTAGGTGAGGATAGAGAGCAGCGTGCAGGAATGGGGGAGAGATGAAGGTGAAGCAGAACTTAAAGAAACAGTTCAACCAAATTCTGTCTCTCTAGATTTTGTGGAACGTTACACAGAATACTGTTGCTGCTCTTTTCTATACAAAGACAATATATAAAGACCAGGGGCTATCAAAAAGCACCTGGAAATAATTGTCTAAGTGAATTGTGCTTATGATTTTCAATGAGACATCATTCGTACAGTACATTTATTTATTTAGCAGATTTAGCAGATTTATGCATATTTATCCAAAGCAACTTGCAAAAAAGGAGTACAAAAAATGCAGTTAATCCGAAATCCTATTATATAAAAACCCTAGATCGTTCAGAGAAATACACGCTTCTTTTATATATCAAGAAAAAATGATGCACTAGCATGCAATAGTTTGGAGTCACTAAGATTTTCAAAAGATTTTCAGACTTTTAAACTGCTACAAATTATTCCTATTTCATATAAATGCTGTTCTTTTGAACTTTGTTCAAAGCTCAAAACTTAACCAAATCAGCATATTAGAATGAGTTCTGAAGGATCATGTCACACTGAAAACTGGAGTAATGATGCTGAAAATTCAACTTTGCATCACAGAAATAAATTACATGTTAAAATCTGTTGAAATATAAAACAGCTATTATAAATTGTAATAATATTTCACAATTTTACAGTTTTAAATGCAGCCTTGGTAAGCACAAGATATTTGTTTCCAAAACATTTTTAAAAAATCACAATCATTCCAAACTTCTGACCAGTCAAATACTGGTGGCATACAGAGGACAATTTTTCACATAATAACTTACTTTGACAAGATTTGTTTGAGTTCATTTTAAAAACTCTTGACTTTTGATTTCAGACTACAAATCTGAGCACAGTTTGACACACTTAAGATCTCCTTTTCTCCATTTAATCTCATCACTTTCTAAGACAGTGGTTCTCAAACTTTTTTGGTTATGCCCCCCTTTAAACCTATAAAAAAATCTGGCGCCTCTTCAGTGAAGCAACAGCAGAGAACCCTGTTTCACAGAGATAGGACGTTGCAAAGGGGAGCAGAATTTCAACAGCTTTCTGACCTATCAGTGGGAACTCCCTCTCCACACTAAGCCAGAATTCACAAAGTGTTTGTGATGGGAACGTTAGCCTCATGCTTGAGTCAGATGTCATCTCAATTAACTGCTCTTCTTCTGAGGAACTCAGATCATCAGGTGCTGGAGCAGTGAATGGATCTCTCACCCAGTCGAACTAAACACTGCTGTCAGGGAAGTATTTCTGAAAATGACCTCTCAGAGCAGAAATGTGTTCCAAAATACATGGGATCACTGTGCTTTCGGTGAGCTTGTTAGTTTTGGAAAAGGTTGTTCGATTTTCAAAAGACTCTGTATTTCCTTGCTCGAGTTTCCTGCCCCACATCTCCAGTTTTCGGATGAATGAACTGACTTGGTCTGCCAGATGTGGTAGGTATTTGTCTTTGCCCTGCAGCTGGAGGTTTAGTTGATTAAACGTGGAGAAAATGTCACTGAGATATGCCAGCTTCATTAGAAATTGTTCATTACCAGATTTGCTGGCAAGCTCGTTCATGCCTTCTTCCTGCAGAAGAATCTGAATTTGCTCCCTGAGCTCAAACACTCTGGACAGCACTTTGCCACGGGAGAGCCATCTCGCTTTACTGTGAAACAGCACAGCAGTGTGATCGGCACCCATCTCCTCACAGAGCGCGGAAAAAAGTCGTGATTTCAGTGGTCTTGGTTTATGTAGTTGACCGCGATAACAACTTCAGACAAAACATAATTTAATGTAGGGCTTAACTGGCATGATGCAAGTGCTTCCCGATGTATAATGCAGTGCGTCCACTGCGCTTTCGGTGCGACTCGCTTGATGAGTGCTTGCAATCCTCCCCGTTTCCCCGCCATAGTCTGTGCGCCGTCCGTGCAAATTCCCAAGCAGTCCTCCCATTTAATCCCAGCCTCTGTCAAGTACGAATCAATAATCTTAAAAAGTTAATCAGCCGTTGCTCTTTTTGGGATGTACAGTATTTGCAGAATAGTAGATCTTCATTCAGTGACTCGAAATCAACAAATTGCACATACGCTATTAACAAACTGCCCTTGTTATTATTAGTGGCCTCGTTGACTTAAAGCGCATAGCGCTTTCCACTAATTTTCTCAATGAGCTGTTCCTCAATGTAATTTGCAATATCGTGAATTCGTCTTGATATGGTGTCATTTGACACAGGGATAGTCTTTAATTTCGCGACACTCACCTCATCAAGCATAACTGACACCATACGTATCTATGGCAGCGGGAAGAATCAACTCTTCTGCAATAGTATGAGATTTCTTGCATTGTGCAATGCGATAGGCAATTTTGTAAGAAGCCAGTTGCGCTTTCGCTGTTGCTGTAGTGGCTTTTACAAAACATGTTTTCTGCCCACGATATTGATTAAGTTTTCTTTTA